TGTGTCGATTTACAACTTACACACGTCAAATCTAATCTGATACACATTAGGTAACCAATCAACAGACAACATGTGTTATCTGAAAATTGGTATTTGATATATGTCAGATTAGATCTGATATAAGAATGCATCTGAGGCACAACATATATATTTGTTATATACAAGTTAACTTGTATTGGTCAATTTTTTTTATTTGCTTGTCAGAATTTTGTCTGTCAAGATTTTGACCCAGAGTTTTTAACTATTATTTTTTTCATATTGTTCTTAATATAAAATAGATCAATCTGAATTTATTTCTTATACTTGTTATGATTCTATTGTGATACTTTTTATGTTTGATTTATCACAAATATTCATATAATTCAGCATTAAAAAGAATGGTATAAACAAATTAGAAATATAAATAAAGTATGTAATAAGTGAAGTTGATCTTTTAGTTTGATTACAATTCTTATTTTTAACTTTTTAAATCAACAGAATGCAATTTATCTTCTTATTGGAACCAAATATAATATTTTGCAAAATTTCCAAAGGAAATTCAGGGTAATATTACAAAGATAATAATTCATCTCTAAATTTTTATTTGTCCTTTTTAAAAAATATTTACCTTTTTTTTTAGTATTACACAGGCTCGTGATTATGCCCATGCAATAAATGCTTCATTAATATTTTGTTCTGCAAAATATTCTATTAATATACAAAATATTTTTAAAATAATACTTATAAAAAGTTTTGATCTCAGATATAAAATTTTAGAAATTAAAGAGGTTGGATCTCCTATATTAGAATATAAAACTGCACCAGAATTTATAAAGGCAGCTGTAATTTATCAAAATTCATACTGAAAATTGAAAAAATTATCAAAATTAAAAATGTTGCTAAAGTTAACTTTAAAAAGCATTTTACATCAACTTAAAATTATTTAAGGATAAAACTATTCATTTGCTGTTTATTATATATATTTTGGATTTTATTCAAAATTATATTTATTTTTAGAAAAAATGTAAATATCGTATCATATGATACAATTATATATTGCATTTTATAAGAACAGGTATAACGTGAGATCAAAACAATAAAAAAATAAAATGTTTTAATTAGAGTTAAGCAAGTTCAGTTTTGGGTTAGAATAAGGCATAGTTTATATCAAAATTTTGCAAGAAATTTTTTTTGTTAGAACATGAAGGGCTGTTTCCTATACAAAATTTTGAGGTATTGGTAATTTTTCAAAAAATTACAGTTTTTTGTATTTTTTATATTACACCTAATCCTGAAATTTGATTGGTTGGATGATAAATAAGAGTATCGCACTGGTGCGATATATAGATAAATCTTTATTTTTATATACAAAAATTTTATAAAATTTAAATAGAATATATTTCATTGGATTTTACAATCTTTTTCTGTATGTGATTTGTTTTACATTAAGCATCAACTAGTTACAAAAATATATGATTATACTGTTATACAAACAAATACATATCTTTTTTAATAGGAATTACAATATAAAAGTAATAATTCCTCTCATTGTATTAATTATTTGAACTTAAAAATAATATAGAATAAGTTTTGTATTTAAAATGTTATTTTTTTATAATATAAATAACTTGTATAATAAAAATTTGACATGAGTATTGCATTTAAAGTATTGTATTGATTAAAGTATTTATCTTTTCAAAATTCTAAATATTCACCAAGGGATGTTCACTTCCATAACTATTAAAATATTAGAATGTGGCATAGATTAATGACTAATACAATACAGTATAATTAATTAAGCCTAACAACTTAATATTTAAGCTTAATAAGTTTGTATAACTTAATTGCATTAGTTTACTGTATTGAAAAATCTTGGATAATTTATCTCAAAAATTATTGCTTAAATGAAATCACAATAAAAACAATTTTCGATGTTATCATTATTTAAGCTTACATTTTTTAGGGAGACATATGCTGCTAAACATAGAGCAAACTATCAACCCTAATAGTTTCACACTATCATGCTGATCAATGCAAAAAAGATGTTCTCACTTTCAATTTTCTTAGTATTTAGATTTGTCCTATCCTATTGTTGTAAAATATTATTTTTAAAACCTTCTATGATGAATTTTTACTATAGCTGTCTATTTTTCAACTATCTATGATGAGGTGCCTGCATTTTGTAAGAGCTCTTTGACATATTTGATTTTCTATATCTTGATATTTAATCATTCATAATCATTTCTATTAAATAGATTCGAGCACATAAACTTTGAAGAAAATATTTTCAATTTTTTTGTCTATGTCTAAAATTGTTTAATCTAATTATTTTAAAAAGATATATTGATTTAAGTATAAGTTTTGTTTGAAAATTTTGCATATTGATTTATTATTTTAAGTTTTATATAATCAATTATAAGAAAAGATTTAAGAACATATCACCTCACAAGTGATTGTAGTTTTTTTCAATGACGATACGTAATTTTAAAAAATCTTTCTGCTGTTAAAAAGGTAAGACATTTTAAATTAACAGGATAAAAATTGCTATATTATATGATAAATATAAGTTTTGTAAAGTAAATGTTACAAAAGATAATCAGTTAAATTATTATAAAAACTTTAATGTATTTTCAAAAAAAAATAGAAGCAGGCAAATTTTAAATTGTGAAAAATTTATTATGTAAAATTTTAGATAATAAAATATAATATTTTGAATGAATATATAACTTATATTTTATACTCTTCAATAAAGATCTGGTGTTTATCCAAAATGTAATATAGTAATAGTAAAATAAAATAATTTAATACAGTATGATTCTCATTAAATTTTGGCTTTTTAAACTTTATCAACTCTCCATATATTTCAACCATATTACATGATCAATAAATTTAATATTATTATATTTATATTTTAAATTTTGTATCTACATAAAACTTTTATAATTGTAAAGAAAAGAAAACTTTTATTATTATAGAAAACATAATGATTTGCACTATAGTAATTGTATAAAAATCCTATCATTCTTATATAAATTGCTAATTAAATGGTTTTAAAAAATTAAAAAATTTTGCTAGCAAGAAATAACTTATCAGTTTAATCTAACTTTGTTCATTTGTCATTAATCTATGCCACATTCTAATATTTTAATAGTTATGGAAGTGAACATCCCTTGGTGAATATTTAGAATTTTG